TATGGATTCCCAGAAGACAAAAAGGAGGAGGAAGAAGAAGAAAGTAAGAAAGAACAGCTAATTTCTTGAGAAAGAAATGAACTCCCAAAAATAAGAACAATCTTCAAACTGTTATAGTTAGGTTGCTGAATCAAATCTAGATGAAACTTTTACTAAATTCACATTTTCAGTTATTACATTCAAGTTTATTTGGGGCCTTAAAGAAAGGTACAAATAGAGTCTTTGCTCCCATTTCCTATGTGGGGAACAGGAAATGTTTCTCTCTCTTTATCACTCCCCACCCCCACCATCCCCTTGTCTATGCTTTACCCTGTTATACCAAAATAAAACCTTGTGTTTTTTTTTTTTTTTTTAAAAAAGGTACAAGCAAATCAATTTGGCTTTTATTTTACTATGGCCTAAAATTGCTAAGTATTCATCTACCACAAATAAGAATCCAGCAAAAGAACAGACATAAAGAATCCCAGTGCAAACAGGCTCTCAGCAAAAGGGAGAGAAAGCAGCTCCATGCAGACCACACACAGAGATGCAGGAGGTGGGAGAGCAGCAGTTGTCCAAGCACTGCCTTCAGCAAGGTCTCAGGCTAGGAAGGGATCACAGATGATGAGGTGCTGGTCTCCACCAAGTGAGGAGGGAGACTAGTCCCTAAGACATTGCTTGTCCAAGTCCACTACAGCAGACCAAGCTGCTGGGCCACTCCCACTTGCCTCGACCGCCTTCACACCCCTCCTCCTCTCAAGGCTCTTCCACTAACTGCATCTTGAACAAACAATTTCAACTCTCAGAGCTCAGGCTATCTCCCAGGAGGATGTGAAGACTAAACCAATTGACCCACATGACAAAAAGTAAGTAGTTAAGCATTCAAACACACTAGTTACGGTTGTTCTTAGGTCATCCTCCCCGCCCCCACTCCCCCCCACACACACCTGATGCCACCTTTGCTCAGGCCATTAGGGCCTCCAACCTTCTAAATTCTCTCCAACATTCATTCTACTTGGCTTGAACCCTCTGCCAGCATGCTGACAGGCTGCTCCTTCTTGGAACTGCACGTATAAATATACAACCAAACCATCCAAACCAGGATCCAACTCACCCTGGCCACAGAAGCCCAGTGCTCAAGAGAGAGGACAAAGAGGAGTATTATTTTTACCAGATGATTAAGCCTTGAAGATCATTAGACCATTTGTAACACAAAATTAATGGAGTCCTTACCAGCCCTTTTAAACTGCAAGTTTATTTTTATAAAATAAAGTAAAAAGTAGGGCATAAGAAAAGAAAAACCTTTGGAATCAAAAATGAATTAAAAAACCAGGTGCTAGTAGCTCTGTAATCCTAGTTACCTGGGAGGCTGAAATGGGGAGGATTGTGGTTTGAGACCACCCCAGGGAAACAGTTCACAAGACCCCCATCTCCAAATAACCAGAGAAAAATGGACTAGAGATATGGCTCAAGCAGTAGAGTTCCTGCTTTGCAAGTGTGAAGCCTTGAGTTCAAACCCCAGTCACATCAAAAAAAAAAGAATTAAAAGCAAGTTACAGCAACAGGCATCAAACAGATTCAGTTTATACCAGGCCACGAGGCAAATTCTATTCTCACCTACACCATACTTGTCAGGTCATCTGGACTCCCTAGCCATCTTCCAAACCTAGCTTAGGTTTCAGGTTGGTTTCCTGGCCCTAGAGGCAGAGGCAGCTATGTGCTGGTTCTTGGCACCATCTTGTGGTCACATCTACATACTGCACTTTCTACTCAATCCCACAATGGAAGGAAGTTTCCACAGCACTGCCTAACTTCAAGCCTCAGATTTACCTCTTAATAGTGAGACTATGGGCAAATTCATTAACTTGGAAGTCCTATGACAAAGTGTCTGTTCAGCCTACTGTAATGAGAATGTAAAGATATGTATGTACAGGATCAAAAACTGGAATAACACATAGAAAAAAACCAAAAATAGGTAATTTTTTTTCATCTTAATATTATTATATTTTCACAATTAAAAATGCAGGGAACCATCAGGAGTGCTGAAAGATGGGAGAGAGGGGAAAGCCTCCAAAGCACGCAGAGTTCTGAAGTCACTAGATCGACAAGCCCACTCACAGCCTACAAATTCTTTGCCAGAAACCCCCAAATCCAGTCCTAGAATGCATTCATTTAGTGGAAGCAAATACAAAGAATCAGAGCTGACCTGACATTTCAACTGAGAAGTGAAATAAACCACACTGACGTAACAAGGTCTGGGCACAAGCACCGCTGCCTTTTTCCACCCTGAGGGTAACATTTGTTTCTGAGCCACTCTGGGCTGTCCTGATTGTCCAGCCTGAACTAGGCAAGCAGCCTGCAGGCACTCTCCAGGACACATGTCACACACTGAAGTGTGTTAGGTGCAAACAATCCTTACCTGGCTCTGAGAGTCTTTAAGCAGTGGTATTATTTTTAGAAAGCGAATCCTGATAGGATGTGCGTACCACTGATGTGAATGACTGACACTTCAAAGCAGCAGCCTATGCTCCTCAATGTAAACAGAAATGAACAGTGGGGATCCCACTTATGAGCCAGCCTCCTTGTGCAGCGTGAGAACACCAAAAAAGACACACGCAGGAAGGGAACATGCACAGGCAGTTTTAAAATGGCAAGAACTTTCAAGACTAAGCTGAGGTCTTGAGCCGAAACAGAGAAAGTGGGATTGCTACTGCTGAGTTCCAGAAAAGGTCATAATGTAGAAAAGGCCTACAGGAAAATTCCCTCAGAATATCTGGTTAAACAAAAATATCTAGTCAGAACGAACCTACAGCTAATAATGAAAGAAAGGCCCATGACTTTCCAGCTGAGAGAATAAAAGGGATAATATGCCTACGAATCACCTGCTCTCATTTCCAATAACTTAAAAGAACATTATAACTAACAGGCTATAACCAATATTTTTTTAACTTCTGTACAAGGTTTCCAGCTTAGGAGTTCTAACTGCTATGAAAAACTCATTTTCTATATTGTAAACTCTATGGCTTTATTCTGATCATCCGTCATCAAACCATTGCTGAGACAAGCAATCCTAAAATTATTCTTTATTCAAAGGAATGCCATTACGATTTCAACCCATCTACAATGATCAGCAACAAACAAGTAACAAAACAGAGTGACTAGCAGTTCTCAAATGTTCTTAATATGCCTCTCAACCCTGAGTATTTTGTTTTCTTTTAACATCCCCCAATCCAAAGAGCACCAAAAGAGATGTAATACAAACATTTCCACGTAGTATCTGCAGCTTAACAGCCTTAATAACTAGCTATAAAATTTTAAGAGCTATTGTATTTTGGTGGCAATTAGAGTTATTGATATTTCTGAAATTCATTTGAGATTTTACTGTAACTTTAGCAAAAAAAAAATTGCTATGATATGACTCTGGAAATAACTGTTTTACAATCTTAATATTATAAAGGAAAACTTATTGCAATGAAATTAAACTGCACCATATTTAAAATTCAATCAAAATAAATTGCTCTTGATCAAAATACTGATAAATTAAAATATATTTAATATTGACCCAGTTTAATGAGAATATATATTACTCCACTTATAATCAATATGTTAAAATTAACACTCTTGTTAATTTTCTACAATAAACAAGACTGACACTTTTCACTGTTCAAGAGTATTGAGCAATAGTCCTCAAACAACCTTACAGATAATAAGTGTACATACTAACCAAAGTTGCAGTACAAAATGACAACTATAAAGCCACTCTTCCTCTACATATTACTTAAGGTGCTATTAGACTGTGAATATAACAGTCTAAGAACTGAACTTAAGTCACAAGTTCTCAAATTATTTTTAAACTATTATGCATCTGCTTTGAAAAAGTTATGCCAAAAAAAAAAAAAAAAAAGATTATACAATATGTATGGAGATTCAGATGGGTCATGAGCAGTTCTGAAGAAAAACAACAGGTCAACCTTCATTCATAAAGGCCAATGGAAAACTGCAAGAAATACATACAATAAACTAGGTCTCCCCACACTGAGATACAAGAAAAAACTGTTAAGAACTGGGGAAAAGCCATCCCAATATTAAATACTTAAAAAGTTCTGTGGTTCCTTTTTCCCTCTGATTTCCGCAGAGCTTCTAGAGAACTAATGCGTGCAACTTGTGCTCAGTGGGGCATCGTGGAGAGGCATGTGGTGTATGGATTGCTTTCCTGGCGCACAGAAACAGGCCAATGGTGATTCTGACTCTGTTACACACATTCAACTCCTTTTTACCTCATGTTGTATGCTGACAAAAGTCAAAAAGATAAAAACCAAAGTCAGTCTCTGCATATAAAATTACATTGAAAAGGATGGTATGCTATGCATACAAAGTACACTTTTGACATGAAGGTGGTTTATAATTCTGTAGGTGACTTTTCTAAAGACAAGGAAGGAGGGATTTAAGGAAGTAAGTTTAGAGTAATAAAGGGAGTAAATCTAATCAAAGCACATTATACATACGTATGGACATATCACAGTGAAACCTCTTTGTATGATTAGTATGTACTAATCTTAAACAAAGAATGCAAGCTTATTTTTTCATATGCCAAAGCATATGTTTCTGCTCTTTTTTGAAGGAAATTCTTTTAAAGTTATTAACCTGCTTCAGAAGGAAAACAAAAAAATAGAAACAAAAACCTCCACGCAGTACACACAGTGATATCTTTCTTGACATTTACCACACGGTGATTGCTGAATAAAGCCACACAACTCACACTTCCGTCCTCTCTCTGCTCTTGCCCCAGCCTTTCCCTTAAGCTCTTCATCCTGGACTTGCCTCCAAATCTGTACAGAGACTCAGAAGTACAGGGCCAAGTCCACTGAGGACACAAGTTCCTGATTTTAGCAAGCTGGGGGTGCAGGAAACCTAACCTCTGCACATTTGGGGATCTAGAACAGTAAGATGCTTCCAGAATGCTTAACATACTAATAAAGCTGCCACTTACAGCAAACAAACAGTACAATCTTCAGACTGACCTTAAGCGCTGCTTATAAAAATCTTCATCTCCATCGTCTCGGCATCTCACTACTTTGCAACCTCCTCCTCCTCCTTCTCCTGCGCTTCAGCCTCTTCCCCAGAACTTGGGAAAAAGTCGTCATCATCTTCCTGCACTAGAACTTTCTTCTGACGTCTCAGGCCCTTGCGCAGAGGCTTCAGTTCACAGTCAATGCCATCTCCAGTCAGGCTGGCCTCTGTGCACTCTTCCTCCCTCTCTGTGGGGGAGGATGCTGACATCTCACTTTCAGCGTCTCCCTCTGCTTCTGGTCTCACCTCCAGCTCCGAGGGCTTTCTCCCCCTTGGCAATCGCATGTTCCCCTGGAACTGCAGCGCCCTCTTCTGCAGCCTCCTCATGTGCTTCTTCAAGCGCTGATCTGTTTTTGAAAGAACTTTGCTTCTCTGGTTTGGCTTGTTTTCATTTGCTTCTGCTTTAGATTCAGACGTGACCAAGGCTTTTCTGGCTGCTTTTTTATTAGCAGCTTGCTTCTTCTTTTCAAAAGACAGTTTTGCTTGATCTGCCAAATATTTTTCAAAGCCTGATGCCTCGTTGAGCATTATTTTTCTAGGCTTTTTCTCCTGTTTCTGAGGGACCTGGGTCCCAAATGGTGTCATGTGGCCAGTGCGGATGAGCTCTTCCCAGGCAGTCTCCTGGGCAGGCATGAGCATACTGCCAAGACAGGACGGCCCCGGTTCTAAAAGAGGAATGGCAATGTACACTACTGTAAGACTTTCAAGAGTATCCTGGAAATATTCACTTAGTCAACAAATAGTCAGTGTACTAAAGGAACAGAATAAAATTTATATAACATCTATCATGCCATATTAAATACAGTCTGTTCAAAAAGGAGGTTTCTCAGCAACTTCCCTCCAAATGACACTATATAAATGTGGTACACATACACACCAGAATACTACTTAGCCATAAAAAGAGTGGAATTCTCTCATTCGTGACAACATGAATGGAACTGGTGATCTAAGTTATGTTAACTGAAATAAGCCAGGCACAGAAAGACATCACTCACAAGGAATCTAAAAAAGTAGATCTCATAGAACTTGAGATTAGAATAGTGGTCACCAGAGGCTGAGGAGAACTGGGTAAAGGTGGGAAGGGGAAGGCTGACCAATGGTACTAAGTTACACTTAGACAGGAATAGCAAGTTCTGGTGTGCTATTTCAAGACAGGTAACAATGTTTCACACGGCCAGAAAAAAGGACTTTGAATGTTTTCACCATGGTGCAAAGACATATGTTTAAGAAGTAAGTGTTTAACCTGATTTATACATTACTGAATAATTTACATTGTACATAAACATGCATCAAAACATCACATGGTACTCCACAGATATGTGCACATTTTATTGTCTTTATGTACCAGTTAAAAATAAATTGAATTCAAACTTTAAAATCACATTATAAATATACTCCATAAATCCAAAGATAGCTCTGTGACTATGTAACTACTATGTAAATTATACTTACAAACAAATTTAGCTATGTTTCCTTATAATTGAGTAGACCATGAGAAGTAATCTCCCAAGTTCCCATGCCATTGTTAATGCCAACATTCAGGTGGATTTACTCAAGGGGCAGTAAAAGTGAAAAGAGACATGTAAGAGATAGGCATGTGCCTAAATAAGAAAACATAAAATGCTGAGCACAGCATGGTAGTCACCATTTAGTTTCCATGTCACCTGTGGCTATCTAACGATTAATTTAAAAACTGAGTTCTACAGCTGTACTTGCCATATGAAGCTCAATAGCTACATGTGCCAAATTGCTACATAAAGACAACCAAGAACATCCCCCTCTCTGCAAAAATGTCCACTGGTCGGCAGTGTGTATACGTGACAGTATCTGACTTGAAGAGATGAACGAGAACTTGAAGGGATGCCATGAGTGTAAAGTCACCCAGAAATCATCCCTCTTGCTAACTAAGTTAACCTCCAGCAAAATAATTACCACATAATCATAAAATCAAAGACTTACGGCTTAGCAGGAAGGAATCCATACGCTAAACTCTGTGATTCTTTGTGTGTGTGTGTGTGTGTGTGTGTCTGTCCATGCACTCACAAATCTTCTATTTTATTGTAGCAAAATACACAAACCCTAAAATGTACATTTTAACCATTTCAAGGGTACGGCTGAGTGGCATTATATGTATCCATAGTGTCATGCAGCCATCACCACCACCCACCTCCACAGCTTTCTCATCTTCCCAAACTGAAACTGTGCCCCCATAAAAGACCTCCCATTGCTTCCTCCTCTTGCCAACCTTCAGCAACCACTACCATGCTTTCTCTCTGTGAATGACTATGAGGTGCCACATGTAGGTTAAATCTTCTAGCATTTGTCCTCTGTTTCTCTTGGCATCATGCGCTCAAGGTCCACCCATGCCATAGCATGTGTCAGAATTTTCCTCCTTTTTAAGGTTGACTAATACTCCATTAATCGTATCTGCCCTAGTTTGTTTACTAGTCTTCTGCCCATGGACTCTTGGGTTGCTTCCACCTTTTGACTTGTTCATGATGCTGCTTTGAACACAGGTGTACAAATACCTCCTCCAGTCCCAGCTTTCCATTCTTTTGGGTTTATACCCAGAAGTGGGGTTGCTAGTTCTATTTAATTTTTGAGTAAGTGCCATATAAAATCTACCATTCTTGTAGACCAATGATACTACAGCCAGTTTTTCATTAAAATTGCACTAAAATAAAGTATACATCAGAGAGGGCCCAAATCATAAGCTCAATGAATATTCAGAAAAATATATACTCATTCATCAACATCCAGATCCAGTAACATATAAATGACTAGCATCCCCAGAGCACCCTTTGTGCCACCGCCCAGAGATACTGACAGGCTGACTCTATGGATGAGTCGTAGCTGGCTCTGAACTTTGTGTACATATATTGTTTGTGCTCCCGTGTCTGCCTGCTTTCCTCGGCATTATGCTTGTAGATCCACATTGATTTGTTGAGTGAAGCTGCAGTTTGTTAACTCTTGCTGTTGCTAATATTCTACATGAATATGCTACAATTTCCCCATTCCACTGTTAATGGGCATTTGGGTGGGTTCCAGGATTTGGCTCCCAGAGATAATGTTACGAATATTCTGGTGCACATTCTTTGGAAATAAATGTACATAATTATCTGGATTATTATGCTTTAGTATACCTGTCAAACAGATTTTCAAAATGGTACCATTTTAAGTTCCACAACAGCATTTGACAATTCCAATAAATCACATTCTTGCCATTGCATTTTAGCTATTCTGGTAACTGTGTAGTGGTGCCTCAATGTGGCTGTACTTGGCATTTCCCTGATGACAAATGAAACAGGGTGCCTTTCCTTGGGACACAGCCTCGTTTGTGTAGAAAATGTTCAAGTCTTGTGCCCATTATTCTGTTGACTCAGCTGCCTTAAAAAATGATTTATAGTTTTTTTATACAATCTAGATTCTAATCCTTTGACTCGTAAGTTCTGCAAATATCTTCTTCCACTTTTCAGCTTACCTTTTTACTCTCTAAATACCATCTTTTAATGAACAGAAGCTTTTTGTTTTTATATAATCCATTTAATAAATCTTTTTCTTTATGGCAAGCATTTTTGTGTGTTAAGTCTTTGCCTAGCCCAAGATCATGACATCTTCTCAAAGTTTTATTTTGTGCATAGTGAAATGGGTCAAGATTCATTTTATTTTCATGTAGATTAACCAAACACCATTAACTGAAAAGATTGTTCTCTCCTTAGCATCGTCTGCCACCTTTATCATGCCTTGTGAATATACACAGGTGGACCTGTTTGTTGGACCTGTTTCTGTCCCTTTGGTCTGTTTGGGCCACCTTATGCCAATACCACACGTCTTATTGCTTCAGCTTTATAACAATCTTGACATTTCTCTTTAAGATTCCATGGTTGTTCTTGGCCAAATGAGTCTTTATAAATTTCATAATCAGCTTGCTAATGACCCCTACCCTTAACCTACAACTTCTACTACATGCCCTTTACATTAAAAACCTCCCCAATTACTTAGGCCTTTAACTCTCCAATGATGTTTTATAGTTCTTAACGTAGGAAATACTGCAGAAAACTGTGCTTTTGGCTAAGACTGATTTCTATGCATTTGATTTTGACTGTAACTGGCATCTCTATTACATTTTATTTTTTATTCTTCCTGACATACAAAAATATGATAAATTTTTATATATTGACCATGTATTCAGTGATATTGATAAGTTCACATGGCAATTCCAACTGATTACCCATGAGTTCTTTTTAATTTTCTATCTAAACAATTATGCTTAGTCCATGAATAATGATGGTTTTGTTTTTTCATCTTCTCATGCTTCACATTTCCTTTCTTCCATTCTTACACTGTCCCTACAATGCTGAACAGGAAGATGACTGAACACCCTTACTGCCCTCCAGATCACTGTGTTTGTAATCTGTCCTTATCCCCCCTACTTCCAGGGAAGGACTGTCAGGTAATCGTCACGGTCACCATGTGGAAACCAGGGAAAAGGGAGCCTCAGGGAGGCATGTGGATGGCAGTTGAGGTACCACACTTATGCCTAATGCATGGTTCAGACAGTCTGACAGAGATAAAGGATGCAGCAAGGTCCACAGCTGGCAATACAGAGCTGGGCCCCTGAAGCCTGAGCTCTCAGGTTTTCAGCTCTACAGCCTCTGCAGAAGGGCAGAGAACAAAGGGTGGTGAGAAAGATCAACATTTCAAGTGATAGCTGGTGCCCAGATAGAGAGGTATCATAGGAACCAGGAACTCAAAAAAAAAAGGCAAGGCTCTATCTACAAAGACACCAAATCCTAGGTGGCTATAAAATACATTGGTAGGCGGAGGCAGGTGAGATTATTCATAGAGAGGAAACAGAAGAAGGGGCCTCAACAAGAAATCTGAGGAGACATCAGCATTTAAGATAATACCAGGAAAAGCTAGCCAAAAATAACTAATCAGCAGTAATTGGAAGGCAGAAAGAAAATCAGAAGAGAGATTGGAGTCCCTGAAGGCAGAAGAAGTACTAGCTACTGGGGACAGGCCAAGTAAACCAAGGACGAAAAGTTGCTTTCAGGTTTGAGAAGATATTAACACTGGGCAAAGTTTTACTAAAGTAGCAATAGGAAATGAAAGACAGCAATTGGTTTGAGATAGCTGGACAGAAACAAATGCCCTTTACCAATGAGAAATATGGTGCCACAGAATCAGAGAGCATTAGTCATAAGAATTAATGAATCTTGTAAGATTACACTTTACAAGTATATCTAAACTGGGACATGGTAGGTACTTGGCTGAATTCCCAGCACTTAGGAGGCTGGGCAGGAGGATCATGCATTTCAGGCCAGCTTGGACTACCTAGAGAGGTCGAAGCCAGTCTGGGCTACATAACAACCCTGTCTCAAAAAAAAATAAAATACATATATATAACATCTAATATGTTTCTATCACCTATTGTTATGTTCTTAACAATTCTTGTCTTAGTGATTAAGCTTCTAGAGCTAGTAAAAAAATATTTGTATAAAGAGCTTAAACACTAAAAAGCCTTAATCTATATTTCAAGCAGTAAATGACTGAATAGTAACCAATAATCTCTGAATACACACACACACACATATACAGAGAGAGAGAGAGATAGAAAAGATATTTAGTTTCAGAGTTTATGCATGTTTCCAAAAGACAACCACTCTAGACAGTAATTTAAATGAAATTATGGCTATGGTATAGCCTGAATGTCTTTTCTTAAATAACAGAATGGATGTTTGGAAAGCCTGCCAAAAATGTTCCTTAAAGATATGTGAGAGTAATTCTATAAATGCTGATTGATGATACTGGGCTTCCAAAATGGAATTCAATCAAGATGTTAGTTCTCTTTATCAAGTTAACTGTCTAAGAACGTTTAAGATTTCCAATTTATTAAATGTGCATCAGTAGCCTTCAGTGAACTGAACTAAAAATTTACTTTCATTCTCTAAATATCCTATATGACTTAAAGGTTTCATTCTATAGCTGATAAAATTTTCCTAGATCCATTTTGACACTAAGGCAAAGAAATGTGTTGTTCAAAGTGTACGAAGGGACTAAAGAGACACCCTCCCCTGGATAGAAGCAACAGGAATTAACTCAAAAATATAGAGAGACACTCCCACATCCTCACCTGCATTCTCCTCCCCCAGGCTGGTGTGTTCCAACTCTACTTGCACCTTCATTCCTGCAAGGATGGCCTGGAGACGTTTCTGTTTTGCAGTGATCTTCTTCAGCTGCTGTTCCTTGAATAGTAAATCCCAAGTACAGAACACAGCATCTCAGTGGTTTATTGTTAAATATAAAAGGATAGTACCATGAAATTTAAAAACCTTAATCAAGAGTAAAATATAAACAAACAAATCCCCTAAATACTATGACTATAGAGAACATTATTTGAGCAACTACCACTTTCCTGAAGCAGGTCAACCGTGAAGCATTCCTGCCAGGAAGCCAGCCCTGCCCACAGGCTCTCCTCATTGAGCAGCACAATGCTTTCCAGGTGCCTGAGACTAAAGTCACATGGATTGACTGTGGGGGTAATTGTCCTCTTGGTTCCCCCCACTACCTGTACTGCATACATCACTAAACTTCTCTGTGTTTCTGAACTTAGCAGCAAATGGGCTATGGAGGGTAATGGACCACAGAGATTAGAAATAAAAACACAAAAATACAAACAGTTTAAAAAAAGTCACTCTTCTTTGGTAACTGAGCATGTCTTCTTTAATCACAAAACTTTCAAATATAAATACATTTTACAGTGCCTCTTTATCCCACCTGCCCCCAAATCCTCTTTGTCTTGTTTTCCTTGATGTCATGAGAACTTAAAAGATATGCGGCCTTACTAAAGCCTCCCAATTAACTGGGTCTGGAGTACTTAAATTGTCTTCACAAGGAAAAGAATGTTTCAAATCCATCAGTGGCACTAGCATGCATGAGGCTCTGGGTTTCATTCCTACTACCAAAAAAAAAAAAAAGTTTCAACTCCAAATAAGTGTGGGGCAGGCAGGAATTCTGAACATAAACAGCACACTGCAAGGACTTATAACTGGTTATTTTGTATTTCCTTCAGAAAAATCTCATTTAAAACACTTTAAATATAGTCTATCTGCTGCTAAAGATAGGAAAATACAAAGTTTGAACCTCTCCACCCTTGAAGGATTAAAGATCTCTTCTGCACATTAATTTACATGCTCCCACAAGAGTCCAGATGTTCCCTCTCTGATTTAGGTGGACCTCATCTGCACTGAGCTAAAGCTAGCTGTGACCTTTGGTGAAGATAATGGACTAGGGCAGGGAAAGCAAAAGAGGGCCACATGAACTAGTCTATACAACCTCCAATGGGCAGCACTCAAATCAGACACAGAAGGACTCTACATGTAGCAATGAATCAACTCTAAGCACAAGGATGCTAGATGGCAGAACTGAAATGAACAACACTAGTCATTCCTATTTACTGCAATGTATTTTCACAAAGACATACATAAATCCTAAGAAATATTTCAAACCTCACAAAGCTGTACGTAAATCCTAAGAAAAGAAGTTTCAAACCTCATAAAAACAGAGCCTTCCTACCCTTAAGTTCTCCAACCCTAGTGAGGCTGGTCTGACGGTAAAACCTGAAGCAGCGATAGAGATAAAGCGTGAGACTATCACCTCTCTCAAGCTCTTGCTCCCTCTTTCTCAATAGGAAACAAAGAGGAGACATCAGTGCAAGCAAGAGCTAACAAGAAAAACAAAGTCCCCACAAAACAAGGAGACAGAGTGAGAGACAGCATGCCAACCAGGAGCAAAAGCTGATGGAAGAAAATGTGACAAGGAAATGACTCTGGAAGAGCACATGAGTGAGGAGGCATGCAAGCTACACAGGAACTACTCTCAAATATGTACATATGCATGCATGCATATATATGTATAAACATACATCTCTGTATATGTGGGTCTTTAAAACTACTGCATTACAGAGGCTGTGAAAAGGAAATAGCTGACAGATTAAACACATAAAAGCAACTCAAAATTTCTCTACTGTAATTATAAATACTTGTTTCACATCTTAAAAGTACTTTCCAGAATAGTTCCTGAATTATTAAATGGATTTAAATGGAGACTTTCTAAAAAATGTAATACTTAATGCGTTATTTGGAATCACCTTATTATACTTCTGTCGTTTTACAGAATCTAGTTTCCTGCTGATGTCTCTGTTGGTGGCTGCTTGAGGGCTAAGTTGTTCAATAATTTTATTGATTTGCCTTAAGGATGATGTGCATGACCTGAAAAATAAGATAAATTGTCTATTTTCCACTATGGTAACATTTTTATAGCATAATATAAAAAGAAAAATGCTAAAAACATGTCTCTTTCACTTCTTATGAACTAAAAGATAAAAGAAACTGAACCAAAAATGCATATTCTTAATGGTCACAAATTGATTAGAGGTGTAAGGTAACTATCACTGTTTGCCTTTTCTCTAGCTGACTTAAATCAACTCATTCCCATTTGTAAATTGAGTCATTCCTTCTACAAGCATTTTTTATGTGTCTATTTATTCAAGTGTGCAATAAGTGCTATTTTTACATGAAGAAATGCATACACAGATTTTTAAAGCCCATTTTAGAAGCTTCTTAAAGTCTAAAAGTGCTTAAACATTTTCTTATAAAAATCAGACATCTGTGACAATGTATTTCTTTTGTGTAGCTGGAAAATTCATCTACTTCAGCATTAAACTTTGTGGTATGAAGAGGAAAAAAAAATGAACTAAAAATAAAGTGCTTTTGTCTGGTGCTGGTGGCTCACGCCTACAATCGTAGCTATTCAGTAGGCAGAGATCAGGAGGATCATGGTTTGAAGTCAGCCCGGGCAAATAGTTCATGGGACCCTATCTCAAAAAAACCCATCACACAAAAGGGCTGGTGGAGTGGCTCAAGGTGTAGGCCCTGAGTTCAAGCCCCAATACTGCAAAAATACATAAATAAATAAATAATAAATTGCTCTTAAAATAGACACCAGAGAATTGTAGCTTCCAGTTTTCAATTTGTTGCTTTTATTCTTTGTGGAGTTCGGGACAAACAATTCAAGTTATTGGTCACCAAAGGCACCATACATCAGCAGCCACATAGTGTTACCCTGCCTTTAGACTCCACAGGATTCTCCTCTGTCACCACTATAGGAAGTAGTCACATTTCCAGGATCAAATGTAAAGAGTGTGTCATTACAAGGAGCTGAGGTCCTCAACACTCAAGCTCATATTATAACTCTGCAAAAGGACCTGCTACTGGAGAGGCCAAAACTTAAAAAAAAAAAAAAAAAGATTTGAACTAAAAAAAGAAAAGAGGCAAAAAGAACACAACAGGGAACTGTTAGCAAAAAGCATTTCCTTTAAGCATCAACAGCTACCCCCACACACAACCTCCCCACCAGGTAGCCACCAACTCCATAGCCTTCCTCCCACCCTAGCCTCTCACTGCAACTGCCCATTCCTCCACCCAGTCCAGTTCTCAGCTTCTCTTTCTCCTTTGCCTAGTCCTGCCTAGAACCCTGCCCAATGGCAATGAGGAGGAGGTCTAACCTACACCACTCCCCATCCTGTCCTCACCTCAGCCTGGCTTAGGTCCTCCCTTCCCTACCACTACACTATGCTCAACAGAGCCCACATCTCTCTTCTGCACAACACAAATCAAGTCTCCATGAGACTTCATCTTTCCTTACAGAGTAAAAGGTAGGACAGAAGAAAAAAGGCAAAGAGTTCATTCTCATTACTTTTAGAAATGTAAATGTGAAATATTGCCAAGAGACTGAACACTCAACTTGGGGACAGCAAGGTGGAAAGAAACTATGGACAGGGAACTGGATGCAGGGTCATTAGTATTCCTGGCATCTAAAGGAGTAAACTCCTGAAATGCAGGCACACTTCTCCTGAGATCATTGACATGCTGGTGAGTCCTAGGGTCTTTAGGACAGCCCTTCTCTTCAGGACACAAGTCAGGAAAGCTGACTGAGCCCCTAACAACCGGCGCAATGCTGCTCCTGAGGGAAAGGGTGCGAGTACAAAGACAACTGCGGGGCTGTCCTTACTGACTGTCTCCCAAGTCAGAGGTTCTATAAGTTCCCTAAATGTCTGGAATATTACAGTTCTCTATTACCTAAATATCCCTGGCATATTTAAACACAAATTCTAAATAAAGGACTGTACTCACGTGAGGTCATCCATAACCGATCGATACTCCTTCTCGGCGTCAGCGCACTGTGCCCCGCGGCTGGCCTCATGCATCGCATTGTCCACCTGCTGAAGCACACCCTGCTCTAGCACAGCCTGGTCATACACATCTATATCCAGGCCCTGCAGCTCCAAGGCCTGCACAGTAGGATCCACAGCTGGGATCTGATGTCTGTCAATGTGCAGCACGCTTGGCCCTTTCCTTGCAGTTCCTGATGCACAGCCCTCAGCAGAGGTGGACAGGTCGTGGTCAAAGGAAGGAGAGGGGAGCTGCTCTTCCACCTCTGCATCCCCACCATTCTCCTGCTCAGCTGGCACTTCTTCACTGGTACTGACACAGTTACTTTGCAAACCATCTTGCTCTTGAGTTTGACTTGAGTAAGGGATTCCTTCACGGGGCATCTTCGACAAACTATCCAAAAGGAAAAGAAAGAATCTGATAAACTTCTTGATTATATAAAATTGATCAGTATATAGTTTCTTAAATATTTTATAGTTAACACACTGATTTCTTAAATCAAGTAACAACTTCCAATTACATAAATTCAAGTTTCCAAGTGTTAATTTCTTAAAAGGGCATAAATATTTATCTCCTGATAATAACAAAGAAAGTTATCCAAAAGAGAAAGGAATGCAGTATCATCAGCAAAGGATACCTGGGCTGCCAGCTGAGAAAGCCAGCCATCCAGTCCTGAGTGATATCCATGGCACGTTCCCAAACAGCTGAAGTGGTCTGGCTACTACTGTGCTACTGTCTTCCCAGTTAGCATTTTCACTGTGCCATGGCACAAATGATTAATATTAAGAGTGGCACAGTCAACTGTAATGCATAGGATCAGTGATGTAAGGAGAAAACTTCTGGATGAATCTGGCATTACAAACTTTTAGTCTAAACATCTATCCAGTAAAGTAGAACTCTGAATAAATAAGAACCTCAGCGACATCAAAATATTCTCAGGCTGGAGGCATGACTCAAGCAGTTAGAGCACATGCATCCCTGAGTTCAAACTTCAGTAACAAAAGAAAAAATACTACATTTCAGTACACAATATAATTTCTCACCCATCATGTTGACAGGACTGACAATACCCAATACATCTTCATCAATGCTGGTGGGAATATAAATTAGCACAGCCCTTTTTGGGAGCAATTTAGCGGAATCTATCAAAATTTTAAATGCATATGATCTTTGCTTAGCAATTATAGTTCTATTTATTTATTTATTTCAGAGAAATATATGGTAAGAATATATGTTCACCCTCATGATTGGGTGGTGACTGAAAGTAGCACCTCACAGCCACTGTCTAGCACCATGAGAAAGGATTAGACTACACTGCTAGTTCAGGAAAAGAATAAAATTCAAAATTCAAAGTAAAATTTCTGCTGAATGTGTTTCATACCATCAAAAAGTTAAAAAAGCATGAGTCATAGGGCAGAAACTGTCTCTACTCAAATGTAGTGTTTCAATAGTTCAATGTAGCCACTAAGTACTTTCCATGGTACTTTTCACTTAACACGGTATAAAAGCCATGTTAAGTGAAAAAAGTCATGAACAAAGTATAAATGCATTTATATTGAAATGGTATATATGCATCTGTGTGTATGGAGTGCACACAAAAAGATCTGAAAACATGCACCCTAAACTGCAACAGGGGAGCATGTAGAACAGGGAGCAACAAAGGGGACTTTCTACATTTTATCCATACAGTTTGAAGGAGGACATACTAGTTACCTGTGTAACCGTCTAATAAAAACATTCAAAAGCAACATAATAACCAAAAAACAGACTTGCTTTTTAGCAAGCAGGAATAAACTAAGGCTTTTTATTTTTTTCAGCACTGAACCTTTTATTTCTATGAAATGATCACAAGTTCACACACACACAACCCACTCATTCTTCATTAAATAAAACAAACCCAGCAACCAACACTGGAATATAAAGACGCCAAGAATTTATCATCTGCCCAGAATGGCTCACTTTCTACAGAAGCCTATCAGTAACATAGTAAGGAAGGCCAGCAATGGGGGCATAGATAAGAGGTCAAGCGAACTCAATGAGGAGGAAACAATGCACCATCCAGGCCCAAGAAGCATGATCTGAACCCTTGACCCACAGGCTGATACAGAGGAGGTGCTCAACATTTGCTGAAAGGAAGAAAGGTTCAGGTAACAAGTCCAAAATAAAAAGGTTGGTCTCGGTAACTGAATCAGCAGCAAATTCAGTCACAAAATGAGACTCTGAGAAAAGCAGCAGACAGGAAGCATGAAAAGGGATGCTGAGGAGCTTCAGAGTCACCAATACTAGTATATCACAAGGTCAGAATGCAAATCTGAGCGTGAGGGAGAGATCTGGACAGGATGTGGGCACACTAACAGCACAAGCAGTCCCAGGGTTCCCAAGGCTCTGGCAAGTACCAGAGGTCATCACTTTGAAGGGAAAGAAGAGGCTAACACTGAAAGGGTTTAAAGTGAGCATTACATGGTTCCTCCCTTTTGGGACCTTCCAATTATTTTCAGGAGAAAGGCTCAGGTGGGTCTCCCTTTGCCAACAGATGGGGCAGGGTTCTAGTTCAATGTAAGAGCTAGAAACACTTCTGCTTTTATCATTTTTATCTGTATGCATACAAGGACTTTTTTAATTAAAAAAACTGTCAATTCAACAAAAACACTGATAGTATTATAGCACAAAGACAAGGTTATAAATGACAAAGTGTAGGGGAAACTTCTGATAAAAATGGGAAATGATAGGGCATGATCACATAAGGAAATCAGGAAGGGTTCAGTGGACTTGGACACTAAGCAGGTTACTGATTATCTTAACAAAGTAAGTTTCAATGGAGCAAGAGATAATAAAAAAAGGACTCTAGCGCGTTATGAAGTCAACAGATGAGGCAATGGAGGCCACAATGGGGTGGCCTAGCCCTTTAAGGAGCCTGGCTATAGGAGAGAAACACTTGGAGTGATAAAGTGATAATGATTTTGTTGGGAAGTGGGGACAAAATGAAGGCAAGAAAAAACTATAAAATGTAATGAGTGGAGGAGATATCTGGAGATGACCTACCCAGTTGTGCAGCAACATGGGAAGGTCTACAGAAGGTGTAAACAGAAGGCATGACACACCTTTCTCTGACTCTGGCCAAAGGGTAACTCCTGCTGTGCCTACATCTGTAGGTGCAGAGGAAAGCTAAAGTAGACCATAGAGAAAATATCCCATAATGTAGGACATTTGGGCATTCTCTGGGTCAGGGGACAAAGTTGGGATGGGAGCTGGAGAAGAGTAAGAGTCTAGAACAAACGTCTATTAGAAAACAAAAGGTTGGTGATGGGAGTGAATATTGTGGGTAATGGCCCCTCCAAATCAAGGATTTTCAACACTCCGAAACACTGTACAATTTCCTTCTCCAATAATGAGCAGTTCTGGGGGAAATGTCATTATTAGGGATTTTCGGAGTAGACGTGGCAGAAAAAAAGAACCCTGAAGTTAAAGATTCTGGAAGTAACAGTTTGGGCCCATGCCTGAGTAGGTTTTAAAAAAAGAAGTCCAGAGGGGACTAAAAATGGAAGTAAGAGGCCAAGAAGGCAGTTATCATCTGACTATAGCAAGAAAAATAAGTCTCCAGGGGGTGAAAGTTGGAAACGAGAAGGTTTTCATCAGAAAGTTAAAGAACAGTTTCAGAAGTAAAATAACTCATACCTTGGAATAGTTATTGAGAGTCAATTACACTAGGCAACATAGTAGGCAAACAAGGTCCTGTCCCCTCAGAACTTAGTCTCTTGGGGAAGCCATTTAAAAATTACATACAATGCAACTGTGGTGACTGCCATAAATGAGCAAAGCACAGAAACCTAATTCAAACTTCGGAGGTAGTTGTGAGGTCAAGGCCTCTCTGATAAAGTGACATTTGAGCCAGTGCCTGAAGGATGAATAGGATTCAGTCAGGCTAAAAGCAGAGTTAACACCATGCCATAAGACAACATGTGTAATTCCTAACGCTACAAAGTGCTGCTGATTTTGGGAAAATGGAAGAGGCTGGAACACAGTGAGAATTCTTTATTTTTACTTTGGGTCAAAGACAGTCAATTCATTTTGTAAATGTTACAGACTATCTTCTAATACACTACAAGGCTTAATCGTCTGGAAGAACATCTTTACTGTCCTCCCTCCCTTTGCGCACTGGGGCGTCTGTGGCCAGGGACAAGCTGTACCCTGGTTTGGATACTTGTACACATGCAAGGCTCTGAGAAGAGGCATGTTCTCTCACGGGTCTGGGAAAACGTGAACTTGGATTTTACTCCAAGGGTGCAATGGAATGACTTCGAAGAGTTCTAAGCTGGGTTATGACGGCGTGATCCGTGCAATGTCTGTAAAAGACCAGTTGGGCTACTGTATGGATAATGGGTTGGAGAAGGAGCAAGGAGATGATACTGGGAGATACTGGGAGATGGGACGAAAAACGACTACAGCTTGGAACAGGGCGACGCTCTGTGGGAAAAAGGTTACAGCATTCACATTCGACCGTTCAATCCTCCTTCACATACTCCATCAAGGCACAAGGCGCCGGACATGTATCACCCGACTTTCACAAACTCCAGTATTTTAACGATATCAGACAGCGCCCAGCTGACCCTGTACGTAGGGCCTGACTCGAGGGCCCGACCAGTTGATGCCTGGCGGGGCACCCCAAATGTCCCCACCCCACCCCCCACAGGTGAGCGCACGCGCCGCGGCGTCACTTCCGGTGCAGGTACACCTGCCGGAAGGGACGCCCGGACCGAGGATTGCTCGACCAGCCGCTTGTTCCCTCACGGGATTAGAGGCCAGGGCGCGGGGTCGCGACTTCCTGGAGAACCTAACTACCCTCACCCGACACTCAGCTGGACCGCCAAACACTCACCCCGGGCCGCGCGGCTGCCCGACGTAAACGGAGACGCCACAGCTGCCACCGCCGAGGAAAGTAACGTGACCAGCTTGGCGCATGCGCCCTAGACCCGCCGTAAGCACCGCCCCCAACACGCGGCGGGACGGACGGCGCATGCGCGAGCTGCGGAATTTGGAAGCAAAAGGACCTGTGCTGGAAGCCGCTGGCTTTCCACCTCGCGCAAGTGTGGGACTGTGCTGTCTGCCGCTGGGCATCGAACGGCTTGAAACCCACGCTCAGTCCCAATGAGGAATAAGGCGGTTATAAGAATTAAGAGATGTTTCAAGCGGGCGCTAGTGTATCCTAGCTACTCAGGAGGCAGAGATCAGAAGTATTACGGTTCGAAGCCAACCCTGGGCAAATAGTTTGCTCACCCCCATCTCGAAAATACCCAACACAAAACAGGATGGCAGAGTGGCTGAAGTGGAGAACGCCTGCCTAGCAAACATGAAACCTTGCGTTCAAACCCCAGTACCATCAAAAATAGAAAAGTTAAAAAGATGTTTCAGACAGAGAAGGGTATACAGGTTGGGCCGTGCAGATGTAAATGCTTACAGTTAACCATGAACCTTCATGAGTGAGCGAGCTAATTCTATTTGAGCGCTTCCCTTGCCAGTCGCCTTGTGCAGTAGGCAAGGCATCATTATCTCTATGTGTCACCTGGCATGCATCTCCAAACAGGTGAAGGGTAGCAAGGTCTTACCTCAGTAACCTCCCATACACACCTAAGCCGGGCAGTGTGTGATCTGCATAAATGTCTTTAGTGCATTAGATCAATCATTTAATATCCATCCTCAGATCTGAGTGGTTGAGAGGATTTTGAGTCAGGTAAGTATTTTAGCTTGGAGCATTTGAAGTGATGGGATGTCTGCACTTAAGTGTGGAACAAAAGGAGGAAGCCAAGTTTCGCCTGAGGAAAGAAAAAAGAAGTTGTACCAAACAGGGAATTTAGCCAAAGGATATCATCACTAGGAAAGGGTGGCTCCCTGAGGATCTGAAGCAGAAACTCCTGTGGAGCATAGTGGACTGTGGAGGGGATCTTTGGGGCCTTGTAGGTAGACTGTGTCTTCCTCATTTTGAAACCTGAAATCAAACAATAGGAAAAGAAAGTTGGGAATTTTACTTCTGTAGCAGCCCCAACCTACATGGACCTCTGCTCATCCTACATAAGACCTTGAATGATAGGAGAGCATGATGACAAAGAGTAAGTAAGGGAAGGGGGGCCATTAATCTGCTTAAAGCAGATATGCAGGCCTGAAATACCAAGGTAATACCCCATTGTACTATCAATATACACTTTTTTTAAGAAATGAAGGGCAGGAGGGTTAAACAGGTGTTTTCCAGGGATGGGTACCAGTGGGAGGGGGGAGGGCATAAGGAAAGGGTGAATGAGTTAATATGGTGGATTTTTTAAATTCATATATGAAAATAGAAGAATGAAACCTGTTGACATTGTTCTAAGGGGGAGGGGAGAATAATGGTGGGAATAAATATAAGAAATATTGTAAGTATGTATGTAGATATTATAATGTATCCCCCAGTACAACTATTATATACTGATATAAAATTTTCAAAATTAAAAAAAAGAATTCTGGTGATTTCTTGAATAAAATATTGGTAGGGGTTGTGGATATAGCTCAGTGGTAGAGTGCATGCTTAGCATGCAGAAAGCCTTAGTTTAAATTGCCAGCACCATAAAAGAAAACAAAAAAATCAGAATAGAAAAGCAGTTGGTAGCCTCTTAGTTTCAGTCCTTGCAAGTAAAAGCAGTTTCCTCAAGATACATTGGAGTTCCTAGCCATTTTGAGAATCAGGTTTCCTTTTTAGTATGTACTGTTTGGGGAGACTTCCTATGTACCAATCAAAAGAAACAGATGGTAGACACAAATTAGGTGGTGGGAGCTTTAAAAACTTTTACAAAGACTTGGGCATATAGCGGGCACTTAAAAACTGCTTTTGCCAAAAAGCACAGACTCTTTACTTGAGCTCAAAAGTTAACCAAAAGCAGGAGAAAAATGTTGACATTCCTTCATCCATTTTATATCTGTCTCTACACTGAGCCATTATCTCCTGCAGTCATCTTACTGCCACCTTGGGTTCCAGGACTGATTTATAACATCTTTGTGATAATGAACCAAAACTACTTCAAAGGAAAGGAGCAGCAGAGCCTCTGAGACAGTCCATCCCCAAAATGAGAATAATTACCTATAATGACAAGGTTGCACTCTGGAGCAGGAGTAACCATCTCATAGGGACCAGAATGCTCCCCTCAAGAAATAACAACTTCTCTGAAACCCCTCAGAGAACCAGAACTGAGATCATGATCAACCAGGCCACACTCTTCCTAGAACTGTTTAATTATGCATACTTCTCTCCCCCACCCTAATTCTTCCTGTATTTAAACCTAAAATTCATGTCAGTACCCACAAGATAGGCTGAAATACTTACTTTGCCTGTTCCTGTGGTGTCCCCATAATAAATGTCCTCTTCCCTTCACCACTGCTCATCTCTTTATTTGGCATTTTGGGGCAAGTGGCAGACTTGACATATTGGAACTCCTGGAGTTGGACCTCTGGCCTAGAATTCTGATTATAGACAGGATTTAGGAAAACAGGATGGCACAATACATATGCTAAGGCTAGCAGGAGACCAGGAGCTGTGCCTAACTGTTATGGGCTGAATTGAGTCTTCCCAAATTCATATTTGAAGTCCTAACCTGTAGTACCTTAGAATGTGATTGTGTTGCAGGAAGGCTCAGACAGAGACAGAGAGGGCACCAAAACTTTCAGGAAGCTCAAGTCCAAAGGCTGCACCCCAAGGAAACAAAGGGGGCTTTCTTTATATACCATTTAGAGCAAATTACAGAAATTGGGGGGAGTATAGCTTGTCCCATACATAATCACATGTTATTTCATTGGCCGCGTTGACTTATAGGGCAAGGTGACCCTTCTCTGGTCTCCAGGTAACATTCCCCAGCTCCAGCTTTCCTTTTTTTTAACTGTAGCACTCATTAATCTCTCTTCCCCCTCCCTGCCTTTCTGCCACATTCCCCCCTTTGATGCTTGGACCCACTTCTGGGTCAAAGAGCATCATCTTGGTCTAGGGGTTTATATTTTCATAGCGTCATTCCATGAGCAGCTGTTTCTCTTTTATAGTGGTTTCCATAATGGTCCTGAAGGACTGCAGTACCGGGGGATTAGGCAGGGTGATATCAGGCACGCTCTGGAACAAGGAACGTTGCCCCTCTGCTAAGGTCTTGAACCCACCTAGGGTTGGGAACCAGCCCCAGAATAGGTCACCGCGGCACAGGGACACAAGCAAGCTTTTTTATCTTGTCGGTAATCTCTTTAATTACCTTTTTCTCACCATTAATCTGTAAACAGCAGTTACTCAGATTGAGATAATTTTGGGCTATTGCAAGTTTAGGGAAGTTAGGCAGTGGGTAGGTTCCATGTGATTGGGAGCACTCCCCATTGAGTCTCCTGAGTAGCGTCATTGTAAAACTTTTGTCCCAAGCAAATCAAGTCCCCTACTCAGGTGGAGAATTAGCCTTTTGGATGGGAGATACAGTAATTCCCAACAATAGAGGTTTTTAGAGCCAAATGCTCTCCCCATGGCTAGGGAAAGTGGTTTTCTTAAAGGGCTTTTGGGGGTTTAGCTCTTTTGCCTCCCATGACCAATGGTCTCCCATAATACAAAGTTACATTTAGAGTTTACTCGACTCAGCTAGTAAGAGGAACAGGTTTTTTATTGTAATTGAGATGGGAAACTCACTTTGTATCTCCTCGTAAAATGAATGAAAGGCCTAGTATGAGGAGCTCTCATGAGTGATCATGATGAGTTGAAAATGCAGCAAAATACCAGGGTCTGTTTTCTTTTTATAGATTCCTCAAGCTTCTTCTGTGAATAGACTAGTCAGCTCCCAGAGTGAATAGAGCAGGGCTGACGTCTCCTGGGAAGCAGGGTCCTGTCGGGGAAGGGCTCAGGCATTCCAAAGGGTGATCTTGCATGGTGAGGCTGGGTCCAGGATGCACTTCCATTCAAGGGAACCTGGCTCCACTCTGTAGTGGTGGGTCCAGGGAACGATCTCTGCTACCTTAACTGCAGTGAGGGTGGACAAAACAACAACAGAAGGGCCCCTCCAGGGGGACTTTGGCAGTTGAACATTTTATTCCTTTACCCAAACAGCATCCCCTGGTATATAAGGGTGCGTGGGAGTTGTCAGGCTAACAGGGAGTCTCTCTCTTACCCAGTCATTGATTTTTTTATAGAGTCAACCCAAGGGCCTGTATCTGTTGTCTCAGGGTGAGATCACCTATTTTCTTAGGGTCCCCTGGCACACCTTTGACTAAAGGGGTTGGGCGCCCAAAAAGAATTTCAAAAGGGGAGAGATCTGTCCGTTTGATGGGGCTAGACCTAATCCTGAGCAAGGCTATGGGCAGTAATTGATCCCATTGTAGGTGGGTGTCCTGGCATAGTTTTCCCAATTGCAATTTTAGAGTCCTGTTTGTATGTTTTATTTTCCCTTAGCCTTGGGGGCAGTGGGCCGTGTATAGCTTTAAAGTTATGTTTAATGCCTTAGCCATCAACTGTAACCTCAGCCACAAAGGCCGGCCCATTGTCTGACCCAATAGACACAGGTAGTTTGAATTAAGGGATGATTCCCTTTAACAGGCACCTGGCCACTTCTTGGGCCTTCTCAGTTCAAATGAGGAAGGCTTCCATCTATCCTGAGAAGGTGCAGACAAACACCAGCAAATATTTACATCTTGTCTCTTGTCGGGGATTGTTTCTGGCACACAGACTGCACCTTTCATACCCTGTCTTACTTATGTTGAAGAGCTTGGGGACATAAAAATGCTGGGCCCAGGTGGTCTCAAAAGAGAATTTTCTCCTTCAGTCTCAAACCAAGCCTGTTCTTATGAAGTATACCATGGGTCCCATGCAGATAAGGGGCACAGGAACAAGGCAGCTGCCAGTAGTCAAGGTTTGTTCTCCCGTGAGGGCTGCTTGTTTGGCTTTCCGATCAGCATTTC